GATCGGGGAATCACCGGCCTGCAGCTGCTGGGGCCGTTGGGTGACACTGGAGTGACCCCCGGGGCAGGAGGAGAGTCACCGGGGGGGACAGGCCGTGCGCCACGTTCCTCCTGGGCTTTTGGCCAGTGGCTTGTGGAACAGGGCGTTGGACAGCGGTTCAGAATCCGAAATCCCGAGGGACGAGCCCCGGCGGTGCCGTGACCTCACGGGACGTTTCCTCCCCCTCCGCAGGCATCGCCTTCCCGACGAGTATATCCGTAAATAACTGCGTCTGCCACTTCTCCCCCCTGAAGAGTGACCAAGATTACATCCTCAAAGACGGAGACTTGGTCAAAATGTGAGTGTCTGCTTATACCTGGGAGTTTACTGTTGGCATCTGGGCTTTGCTTCTCATCCTTCTTGCTGTGTTAAATTACTTCCTCGCCGCGACTAATTAAAAGAGTCTAAAAACTCGTCAAGTGAAGCGCTCGAAGCACGACAGAGTCTTCTGACACCTGTAGAAGCCGCACAGGTTCCCCGAGCCGGGACGTCCCACCTCTAATGAACTCTCTTTGTGTTGCAGTGACCTGGGAGTCCACGTTGATGGCTTCATAGCGAATGTAGCACACAGTTTTGTCATAGACGCCTCAAAGGTGGGTTGGTGACGGGCCGGTGGCTCCTCCCGCGGCCGCTCCTGGCGCCAGGGGCACCCGCAGGTCTGGTGTCGCAGCGGCCACGGGCTGAAAACATCCCTTGCCTAAAAATCCCCCTCGGGAGGACGAGGGCTGAGCGTTTCCACACGTACGCACGGCGCTGGAGTGGGGCGGACTGGGCAGACTGGTTTTGCTGCCCCCTCTACTGGCCGAGGCAGAGGGAGCTGAGCCTTTGCAAAGGGGCCGCTTGTATTCTGGACCCTAAAACTGGTCCCTGCTGCCCGCTCCCCCCACTCGGGGCTGTTGCGGTGACCGAGCCACGCGTACGGAATTCCCGGGGCGTGCGACGTCACACGAGCTCGGAGCAAATTTCCAGCTCTAGTCCTGGGTGGAGGGCGGCGGTCTGGGCCTGGGGGGGGGTTTCTTCCAGTGGCTGTGAACGACTCGACGGGGAGAAGCCAAAAAAAGTCTGTACTGAAATCTCCCCAGTTGTGTTTCGGCTGCAGGAGGGGCTCGCTCTGGTTTTGGCCTTGGAGGGGGGTGTCCCCGGGGGAGCCCGGTGGGTTGCAGCTGCTGGGGCAGGGACCAGCGGTGGGGCTGGGGAGGCGCCTCCACCTCACAGCTCGGGGGAGAACCTCCGTCTCCACGCACTCAGATCGGGCCTTGCTAATAAGAAGGGACGTGCCTTGAGCCCTTATTTTTTCTCTTCTTCCAGGAAAACCCCGTGTCGGGCCGTAAAGCCGATGTCATCAAGGCGGCTCATCTCTGTGCCGAGGCCGCTCTGCGCTTGGTAAAGCCGGGAAACCAGGTGAGTGACACCTCGGGCCTGGGGCCACGGGGCGGGGGGGCCTTGGCGGGAGGAGCCGCCCAGCGACGGGGGGCGTCTGGCTGAGCTGACCCCCCATTACGCCTCGGTTTTGTTGAGACAGGACTAAAAACGGAGGCCTGGTGCTGTTTCTCCTTTTTCTGGAGGTGTCGGAGCACCCGTGGGTTACAAAACCCGTTTTGTCGCAAAACACTGTCGAGTTAAAAAAAAACATAAACAACCCCAGTCCTGCTTGTGGCTTGAATTTTGTATCTTAACGTGTTTTCGTGTGTCCTTCATCCAGAACACACAAGTGACAGACGCCTGGAACAAAATAGCCCACTCGTTTCACTGCACGCCGATCGAAGGTGAGGCCGGGCCGTGCGCTGGGGCCTGAGCTCCCTGGGCGAATTCTGGGGAATGTTTCCTGGCTACCAGGCTTAAAACGCAGCAGCCTTTGCTAAAATAATCCCTTCAGAACTTTTTTTTTTTTTTTTTTCCCAATTTTTAAAGATGCTTTAACGTAGGAACAATAGACGTGGGGTTCCGTGGCTGGTAGGTAGAGTCCTGGCTCGTGGCCCTGCTGCCAGCCCTGGGCAAACGCCGTGGCCCTTTGTTTTCCCACTTGGCCACTGGTAGTTAAACCCCTTTGGCAAGCGCACAACGGCAGTTTGTAGTGTGAGAGCCCCTGCGAAGGAGCCCGGGGTATTTCATTTCCTTCCAGCTCCAAACTGATTCACGTTCCCTCCGCGGCGCCGGTGGCGGGGGAGTGGGAAGGCGCCGGGGCGGCTCCTGCTCGAGGCGAGGCCACTGGCTTCTTGTCGGGATGGTGGCCGGAGCGCTCGGCCTGGCGCTGGGCACGTGCCGACGCCGTTCTCCCGTCCGCTGGCATCGCTCTCAAGTGGTTCTTTCAGCCACAATTACATCGGTCCATTATTAGTTAAATTTCCTGAAATACCGTCGAGCTGGCTCGTTCTCTTTGCTCGCCTTAGCCCAGCCTTGGAACATCGGTTCCCTGTTCCTTGTGTGGGATGGCTTTGTGGGTCTCCTCAATGCTTTTTGCTCCTTTTTCTGTGAAAAAAAAAAAACAAAACAAACCACCAAACCCCATGGCATCAGCTGCAGTGAGGAGGCGGCCGCTCGCACTGTCGAGGGAGTTTAAGCAGCCACTGTTTTGGAAACAGTCAAGTGCCGTAATTATCGAGGCACTGGCAGCAGCGTAAGGCCCCGGCTGATGAAAACAAACGGAGCTGTTGGCAGCTGGGGTCGTGCTTCCCCTTCCCCGGCGAGACGGGCGACGGTCCCCGCGGGACGGGGACGGGGTGGCTGCGAGTGCCCTGCTTGGGCTGGAAGGTGAAGCGTAGGACAGAGGGGGAAAGCAAAGCAACCCCCCCCCTGCCCTGTGAGCGCTGTACAGCCGAGGAACGGGGAGAAGGACCGAGAGTTGCCGATAATTTGTCGTTCAGCATCTTTAAAAGCACCTGAGGGTGGCTGCGGGTTCATCTCCGGCCTCAGCGAGGAGGAGCGGCGCCTGCCGGGGCCTGCGGCTGCTCCTCGCTGGCCGGGGGGCTCTGGGGAGCCCCCTGCTCATGCTGACACCCCGGAGCGTTAATAACGGGAGCGGCTGGTTTGCGGCTCGGAGGCGTTAACGGATTCTCCTCTGGCGGCAGGGATGCTGTCGCACCAGCTGAAGCAGCACGTGATCGATGGAGAGAAAACAATCATCCAGAACCCTACAGACCAGCAAAAGTGAGCATCACCCCTGGGGCCGCGGCTTCCAGCGGTGCCGGGGAGGGCTGGGGTCGAGTCCAGGGCCGGGGCGCGGGGCTGCTCCCCGGGTTGCCCCTCTCTCGACGTTTCTGACCCGGCGCAGCAGCCCCGTGGCCTGCCAGGCCCTGAGCGTGGCTCTGTGCTTGGGGGCTGTCCCGAGGCTCCTCGCTGGCCCCTCCGGGTTTCTGTGCAGTTTTTTGGGGGGGGGGCAGCTGGGGGCTGCCAGCAGAACGCCTGCCTGTTGCTGGTTGGAGCGGTGGGCGCTCGTCGCCCGGAGCCGCGCCCGGGCCTGGCGGGTGTCTCGCAGACCCGGAGCCCGCGGGGTGGCCATCGCTCTCGGTGGCATCTCGGGGTGGTTTTGAACCTAACAGGCTGGATCCGTCACTCCGTTCTGTTCCAGCAGCTCCTTTCCCCTGGGGATCCCTCGGAGTCGGGTCTCACGCTGAATATTTAACGCTCTGAGGCTTTAAACCCAGCGCTCAGACCAAGTTCTCGGCCGTGGCGGGGCTCTTGGCCTGCCGAGGACGTGGCCACAAGTTCAGGGAGCTGCTGAACATCCGCGGGGCCTCGCAGCCCTCCGGGGGGACGGAGCTCTGGCCCCTCGCTGCTTCTCTGGGGCCGGCCCGTGACCGACGAGCTCCCGCTCGCTGTGGCTTCGTGCTCACAGACCTGGCGGAGCCCAGTGTGGGCCTGTCGGAGGCCCTGTGGCTGCGTAGGACGTTTTGTCGTCTCTATTTACTGTCCTTTGACTCACCAAACTTTTTTTTTTTTTCTTCCATCCAGGAAGGACCATGAAAAAGCAGAATTTGAGGTCCACGAAGTTTACGCTGTCGACGTTCTCGTCAGCAGCGGAGAGGGAAAGGTGAGCGCGGTGCTGCCCAGGTGCGGCGCTCGGAGCCCCCGCGTGCACCAGCCGGCCACGTCCTCGGGGGTTCAGGGGAATACTTGTTACCGGGGTACCGCTCTGTCTGTTCGGGTGGAGACTTTTCCATCCCCGGGGTCGAGGGGGACCTCCGTCGCATCGGGGGCCGCAGGGGGGCCGCGCCGCTCCCCGGGGCCCTCAGCGCCGTTTGCGTTGGCAGGCGAAGGATGCTGGGCAGAGAACCACCATTTACAAAAGGGACCCCTCCAAACAGTACGGCTTGAAGATGAAAACCTCCCGTGCCTTTTTCAGCGAGGTGGAGAGGCGCTTTGACACTATGCCATTTACTCTCAGGTATTTATTCGCTCTTTCTCGTGGCTTCCCGGCGCTTTGGGAGCCGGGGGCTCTGCGGGAGCAAAACCGGCGGCAGCCTCGGCCGCTTGGCGTTGGGGTTGGCCGTGTTTGAGCTGCGAGTGGGTGTAGGAAGGATGTCAGAGGCTTAAGCAGGAATCCCAGGCAGGGCCTGAGGATTTGAGAATCTCCTGTGCCTGGTGTGGCAGGTGGGGAGCCGGGAATTGTGGCCGAAAATAAAACGGGGAGGGGTGGAAGCCAGGGCGCAGCGTGCAGAGGCGAAGGCTGTTCCAGGCAACTTCTCTCAGTTACGTGTTCCCAGACTGAGGACAGAACGTTCACTCGACAGACCCTTTCCGTCCCTAAACCCGCTCGCCCCTTCCGCCCCGGAGGGGGCAGTTTGCCCGCCGGTTTGGTCACCGCAGCACCACGCTGGCGGGGCGAGGGGGCCGCCTCCAGCCCGACCCCGGGGGCGATTCCCAAACCTGCGGGGTGGAATCTGGCTTCGAGGAAAGGGCCTGAGCTGGGGCGTGGCCCCGTCTCCTCCGCAGGGCGTTTGAGGATGAGAAGAAGGCCAGGATGGGGGTGGTGGAATGCGCCAAGCACGAGCTGCTCCAGCCTTTCAACGTCCTCTACGAAAAGGAAGGTGAGTGCTGGCGGTGGGAGGGTGGAGCCGCCTGCGGACAGGCGAGTGTCGCCGCCGTGTAAATACCAGAGATGCACCTCGAGGGCCTCGGGATTTATCCTCCGGGGAACTCGCTGCCCGTTGGCTTCTGGGTTTAGTTCTGGAATCGTTCCAGTGATGAGATGGATTTTAATTTTTTTTTGTGGAGCGATTTCCCGGGCAGGAGGACAAGTGGATGGTGGAGGTGCTGGGGTGGGTTTGAGAATTCCCGCGAGTGCCGGTGTGGTGGCGGCCCCGGAATGGAAACGGCGTCCGTGGGGAAATCCCAGCCCAGAGAGCCGGTGGGTCGAGTGCTGGGGCCGGGCTCTAACGCCCGTTTCTGTCTTGCAGGAGAGTTCGTTGCACAGTTCAAATTCACGGTGCTGTTAATGCCCAACGGTCCGATGAGGATAACCAGCGGCCCCTTCGAGCCGGAGCTCTACAAGTCAGAGTTTGAGGTGCAAGATGGAGAACTGAAGGTTGGTTTCGAAAGAGCAGCAACAAACAGACGCGGCCCATCGCGCGGGTTTGCGCCCCTCGGGGGGAATAACACCCAGAAGCCTCCGCTGGGGAGGGGCTGAGGCGTGAGCTTAGCAAGGACGGGGTTTGCTTAGGACCAGGCTGGGCCCCGATCTGTGCCCAGCACCAGCTCAAGGG